ATTTTTTTTGGAATGACGTACGCTTGCCTGCAATTGATGGTTGTTCTACAAGAACCTGCCTATTGTTGCTCCTCTTGAATTTGAATCCAATTTTGCGAATCCAGGTATTCACCGATCTTGGTGAACAAGGAAAATCAGGCCATTCTTCAGTGAAACGCTTATGGAGCGATTTTATTGTAACATGTACTTTTCCAACATACATCTTATGAACAATATCTCTAAGAGCCTGTAAAATTGTGGGATTTACCTTTTTTTATTTCTTCGGCCTTTTTCGAAACTGTTTCTGCATAAACAGCATCAGAGTTTGTTTGCGAATTCTTGATCCGATAAATGCTCCTTTCTGAAATATTCAAAGCTTCCGCGGCAATGCTGACAACATTCTTTTTTTGAACTTGGCAGAAATCATCGTGTTTTACAAAATACGCGATCACACTCAGAATCAATGTTTCAGATTGATCATTGAATCGTTTCACCATTATGATATATAAGGAATTCGAAATATTATTGATGTATAACCAGTACTCTAATTGTTTGACATAAAGTCACAGTGACAATTCAATGATCAAAATATATGAATAAAGTTCCGACTTTCCTTTTTCTAGTGATTTTCTGTCTCATTCAGCTAGCGGTGAATAAAAAGAAACAGATTTTGCCTTGGTGTATTTCCACGACTATACATCATATTATTTATTATGAACTGTTGGAATAATATTTGATGGAATATACGATTTATAACAGAAGTACTGATGAGAACTACCCTAAAGAATTTGAAACATTTCTTCTGACAGTTGTGACAACTATCCAAAGCTGAACATCAGCAGCCAAGTTTTGGTCGATTTTTGTTGATTCTCCATGGAAATGTATGTGGTGTTGGCAAAGTGCCGTGAGAATAGTAGATTGTTTTATTAGGATCAAAAGTGACACTTTGTTTGACAAGCGAATTTTGCATTTGCGAGGCGGAGCGTTTAGCGAAACCAATATATAATACATGGTGGCAGCTATAAAAGTTATATAAACATAATGGCTAATTTACAAGCTCCAAAACAGTTGGAGCCAGGAGTCGATCCAGCATCCGCTTGGAATAAGTGGAGACAGAAAATTGAATTGTACTGGGAAGCAGCAGATCTGAAGCAAGCGACTGTGACTAAACAGAGAGCAACCCTATTACACATTATGGGTGATTACGGCTTAGAAATATACAATACATTGGCTATTGAGCAACAAGGAGATGAAAGAACAGTGGAAGTAATACTAAACTCGTTGGGTCAATACTTTGAGCCCTATAAAAATGAAACTTACTTACGTTTTCTATTTTTTACAAGTAATCAAAGTGAAAATCAGTCAATTGATCAATATGTGACGCAATTAAAGCAAAAAGCTACCGATTGTGAATTCGGTATTCTAAAAGACTCGCTCATTAGGGACAGAATGGTTTGTGGTATAAGAAATGATGGGCTCCGTGAAAAACTTTTGGGTGAGAAAAACCTGACATTATCCAAGTGTGTCAATATTTGTCGTGCTGATGAAGAATCAAGGAAACAGATGAAGATAATATCTGGAGGGGCATACAATGAGGTATTGACAGTTGATCGAATGAAAACTAATCATAGGTCGGGAAATAAATTTGAGTATGGAGGAAGATCCGTAAGTGAAGACAGAGAAGGAAGAAAAGCTATGGAAAGGGGTAGATTATGTTACCGTTGTAATACATCGCATATATATGCCAAATGTCCAGCCTGGGGAAAGATTTGTGGTAAATGTCAACTCCCCAATCACTTTGCAGTTTGCTGCAAAGCAAAGAAGGTTTGTCATTGTGAAGAAGAAAACACAGAGGAAGAGGACAAGGGACAAACACTTGGACATACAGTAGATGAAGAGGAATATCCAGAGGTACTCTATTTGGGATCTATAACAGAGACAGGGGATATCTTTCATGTTGATAATATTATTTCTCAATAATCATATTCATGTGGAGTTCAAACTGAACATTTTAGGAACTTGCGAAATTACAGTTGAACACAAAAATAATACAAAACAATTGAAATTCTATATTCTTCAAGATAATTTTGAGCCGATATTGAGTCTCAATGCTTGTGTTCAGCTGAATTTGATAAAAAGAGTTCATAGTATAGAGCAAAGTCAAGTTATTGATGCTAGTAGACTTTCAGCAAAGGACATCATAGACAATTTCAAAGACGTTTTTGAAGGTCTAGGATGCTTTAAAAAACCTTGTACAATAAAATTACAAGAAAATGCAGTCCCTAATATTGCTCGATGCAGAAAAACTCCCTTGGCACTGCATAAAACAGTCATGCAGGCTCTAGATCTAATGGAAAGACAAGGGATAGTATCTAAAATAGATGCGGCAACTGATTGGCTCAATGCCATGGTTGTCACAGAGAAAAAAGATGGCTCTGTGCGTTTGTGCATGGACCCAAGACCATTGAATAAATTCATAGTAAGACAGAGAATTGAACTACCAATATTCGAGGTGATAATGGCACAAATAAGCAAAGCTAAGTGGTTTTCTGTCTTAGATGCGTCTTGTGCATTCCATCAAATCCCACTTGATAGAAAGAGTTCAGAGCTATGTACTTTCATAAGTCCTTTCGGCAGGTATAGGTTCAACAGGTTACCATATGGGCTGTCAAACGCCCCAGAAATCTTTCAAAAATATATAAATGACCTAACCTATGGATTAGATGGAACATTGGCCTATATTGATGATATATTGATTTTTGGAAATACGCTCACTGAGCATAATGTTCGACTTGAAAAACTTTTAGCTAGGGCAAGGGAACATAATATCAAATTCAAGTTGGATAAACTACAGCTTGCTTCAAATAAAGTGATTTTTCTTGGTCATACAATATCTGATGTCGGAATAGAAGTTCTTCCAGAAAGGGTTGAAGCAATTCAGAAAATGGTAAAACCAAGTAATGTGAAGGAACTGCAAAGTTTTTTGGGTTCCATAAATTATTTGGGACGTTTTATTGAAAATTTGTCTGGTCATACCGGCCCTCTCAAATTATTACTCAAAAAAGACACTGTTTGGACATGGGAAAACAACAGCCCTCAAGATCGAGCTTTCGCTACACTCAAGAATTTAATAAGTACCACTCCAGTATTATCGTATTTCAACCAAGATCTTCCAATAACCTTAGCTACTGATGCTAGCCAATTCGGTCTTGGTGGCCACATAAGTCAGAACGGTCATCCAATTGCATATTGGTCTATGTCTCTCAACTCCTCTCAGGAAAGGTACGCCCAAATAGAGAAAGAGCTTCTATCTGTGGTGCTAGGATGTGAGAAATTTCACTTCTACCTTTATGGACGTCCTTTCATTGCAATGACTGACCATAAACCGCTTCTAGGATTAGTCAATAAGTCTATAGAATCGCTTTCTCCACGACTGCAACGATTGGTCATTAGACTTATGAAATACGATATAAAGCTACAATATTTACCTGGGAAGGAACTCTACATCCCGGATATGCTATCAAGGGCACCTCTAGATCACAATAAATCCACTGATTTTTTAGACGACTTCCAAGTTCGAACAGTCATTGTAGCATCAGATGAAAAGTGTCGAAATATTCTTGAAAGTACCAATAATGATACTGAGCTACAGTGTGTCAAATATTATTTACATAATGGTTGGCCAAATAATATTTCCTCAGTTAGGAGAGAAGCCAAACCATACTTTCAGCACCGGGACGAAATTTCTGAGATAGATGGATTTTTGTTTAAATAAGGTAATCGACTAATAATTCCCAAAAACCTTCGATTAGAAGTTTTGAATAGAATACATTCCACACATCAAGGTGTTATTTCATGGCAGAAGCAGGCACAAAACTCTGTATTCTGGCCTAGTATAAATGAACAAATTGCTAATCTTGTAACGTCCTGTATAACGTGTTTGAAATACTCAAAGTCGAACTCCAAATAACCACTGCATCCACATCCAGTTCCGGAACTTCCATGGGAAAAAATAGGCATTGACTTTATGCAGGTAGCAAACAATAATTATTTGATTGCTTGCGATTTCCACTCCAAGTTCATTGAATTTATATCGATGTCTAAAAAAGATGCAGCAGCTACAATCGATGCACTTCTGGGCATTTTCAAATCCCATGGTTTGCCAGCAATGATTATGTCTGATAATGGTCCACCTTTTGACTCGAAACGTTTCAAGGAATTTCTTCAACATTTGGATGTCGTGCATGTAACATCCAGTCCAACCTATAGTCAGTCGAATGGTTTAATAGAGAGACATGTATAAACGTTGAAAGGAATGATCGTTAAAAGTCCTGAGATACACCCGTACTTAGTTACCATGGAGTATAATAGCACACCGAAACAATCACTATCTTCGCCAGCAGAGATGTTGATGGGTGGAAAATTAAATACACAACTTCCGCGAGCAAGAAGTAGCCTCAAACCTTTGTTCGACACGGAGAAAACCATAGAAATATTGAAAGCGAAACAAGAAGCAACCGTTCAGCAGTATAACCAAAACAAAAAGACTCTCAGCAATTTGGATCCTCAACCAGTTATGATTCAACAAGTTGTTAGGAAGTGGATTCCAGGTGAAGTTGTCAGACATGATGTCAACCCAGAAAGCTATATTGTGCGAACGGATGATGGGGGTGTCTACCGCAGGAATAGAATCAATCTTCGACCAGTCCTTTCAAATTCAAATGAATCACCTATCACAACGCAAGAAGGGTCGACTCAGCTTTCTAAAGAAGAAATGAAAACGGATACCGATACCGCTAAACCTAATGTTCAGCAACCCGGCGTTGTCGCTACCGAACCTCAAGAGAACCGATATATGTCAACCAGAGGACGAGTAATAAAACCACCATCTCGATTTGGGGATCACGTTACTTGGTGACTTGGATTATATTTGTCATGATTATTAATGATAATTTGCTTATTGTTTGTCTGTTCATTATACGTATAATATGTAGGTAACTTTTAGGCAAAAATAACTTCTACAATCTTGGCAGACCAGCTGAAACTTGGCTTTCGATTCGGCACTCGTTCGTTCCACGTCGAATTTTGAAGGTTCCTTTGTCTCCCCAGTCTTCGTTCCAGGAGTTGGTGATAAGCCAGTAAGGAACATTGTTCTCTTCACCCCAACCAATCACTCTGACTGCTTTTGTTCCAAAATAGTCTAACGAAATATCTTGGTAAACACCTGGAAACGAACATGAAAGTAATTGCATTGAATAATGTCTACCTGTGCTTTTCTGATCCAGATTATATTAATAAAGGAAAAGGACAAATTATCATCTAGCGCATGGTATGTTGTTATCAAACTAATACCATCCAGTGACTCTAGTTGTGACTGCTCATAATATGATGTGGCAAAGCGGAATGAACGCAGTGACATTTTGGGGAAGATCATCTGACGGTAACACTGCATTGTCGACAATTTTTTAAATGGAGAGAGCGTATTCAAAGATATAAGCATAACAGAATAACATGCGTACTTTTGAAGTTCACTCATAACATAGATATGAAACACATCGTTTAATCTATGCTCATAATAAATAGTAGCGAAAGAAAGACAATGGTCATTCAACTGGTCTGAGGCGGTACACTGCTGATGGATTGAAACTGAATGGCGCTGAAATCCCTGATGTAACTCAGAGATATGGTGAATCAGTCTCACTATAGAAATTCTCCAAGGTATAGTCTAACTTGCAAAAGTCGTCTTCAGGCTGAGAGCGTGATATGCATTTGCAAAATGGAATTGGCTAAGTTCTTCTGTATTCAATCCAGAATCCATGGAATAGGAGTTTTGAGATAAGGAAAACGTTGAACTCCTCCTGAATCTGGTGAATATTCCAGAACTGAGAGTCAGGTCATCATCAAGATATTCGCGTGTGACCAGATACAATCAATACAATACAGAATAGGACAACTCCAAATTTTAGGTGTTTCGCATCACTTGCAGGGTAATCTATTCATATCATGACTATTTCATATTCTATTTCAAATTTTACTTACCGCTTTTGTAATTCAAAAAGTCGCTATTCATGGTGAAGATAGCTGCCACTGGACCATTTCTCAGTATTTCCAACTGGATCTGCTCGACATTTCCAGTAATAGTGTACGCCTGCGCAGCATAGGTTTTTGAGTCGTTGTAGGAGAGAGTGGATCCTTTATCGCAACTTCCAACGCAATCGGGGGTGAAGTAGCTCTCAGATGGGCATTGGGGAAGACCGCCAGTGGTGCCATAGTGTTCACAGGGAGGCAGGGAGTAGGCTTTGCACCCCTATAAATGAGCGAGTCATGAACATCAGAAAAAAAGTAGGAATGTAGGAATGAGATGCCCCCTTCTACGCCACCATTACATTGATTGATTGATAAACCTGGCATTCTAACAATGGTCCCACTCCCATTTCCACCCTTTACTTACAGTTGTACTGTTGTATGGACCTCCAGTGACGATTCCTGTTCTTCGCCAGTATCGCCAAGCTTGAAGTGGATATCCACCATTGCATCCATTGCCGCACTCCGAGCAGCAGGACATAAGATCCTCGTCCGAAACCAAAGTTTGATCGGTTCCATTCGAAGAGATGCAGATTCTGTCAGACATGGCAGCTGCAGTAGCTACCGCCTGAAAAATGGATAATCATTAGTAACACCAACATCGATATCAATAATAATGTGAATTCATAATTTATTTACTGGGGTCTACGCACACGTCAGAAAATAGACTGGATGGAGGATCAAGTGGAGTATTTTACTTCGTGGCAATAATTTTTCTCCGATGAATTGTCTCAACATCCACATCCACATCCACTGTGATGAATATCAAGGTTCCCAAAATGTGTTTTTCCAGGCGAATCACAGCTAGATAAACCATGTGATAATGGGTCAAAGGTTTCTCCTCTCCTATACACCATCTACACAAGGATCCCACCAAGTACCCTTACAACCCAGATTACTCAGGATATATTAAATGGATATCCTCTATATGGTCGGGATATCCCTGGATTTGAAATTCACATCCATGAGATATCCTTTGCAGAATTAGACATGGATGTCCTTCAGTAAATATATTGAGAATATCCATAAGATATCCACAGCAATTATGAATGTGCTCAATTTGCAAGATTGGTTTTGATAGTCTCAATTCATGAGTTTCTTCTTTGTCCGAAGATAAATTGAAGCTTTTTGGAAATAGATCTGATTCTTTGTTCTCCTACTGAATTTGTATTGTGCATCCATGAGATGTTCATCGCAGGACTCGACATAGAATTATTGTAAAATTTTGCTAGTGGGCTGTGTATTCTTCATTATGAATGGAGTATAATTTGAAAAATCCTCATTTGTGATGATTTTATCAAGAGATATAAAAATAACAGCAAATGAATAATAATAATACCTAATTCATAATAGATGAAGGAAATGAAAGAAATATCCCATTATTATGATTAAACTCTGGATATAATAATGAATCACACGAGTGAACTTGAAAAATCCGAGGCAGAAATTCATCATAATTTAATGTTTCAGTGTTTGTTCAGCATATCTTGAAACCATATGTATGAAGTATCATATATCATTTTGAAGACAAAGAAAATAGCGAATTCAACGAAATAATGTAATACAGGGTGCTCCATTGATGAAAATGCAAGTTTGTGGGGGCTCCGTGGCCGAGTTTGTCTATGCGCTGAAATTAGCTAGATAGCCGTTCACGATGCAGAGGTACTGTCGGTTCGAATCCGGCTATCGGCTGAGCATTTTTCTTTAAAATGTGTGATTCATGGTTGTAATCCTGGCAGCACCTCGATGCCCTAGAAGTGGTTCGGATTCCACTATAAGCTGTAGGTCCCGCTCTTCCTAACCCCGCACAAGTTTCGACTTCTGGGGAGTTGGTTTCCAACTTTGAAGTAGCGATATACAATTTTTTTGTGTGTCATATCTCCAAAACCAGACCCCGAAAAAAAATTGAGTACGTTGGATTTTGCGCAAAATTCTCTGTCAGACATAGTGTTTCGCGCAACATTATTCGTTTATAACCACGTAGAAATAGAAGGGGTCCAAAAAGTTTGAATGTTCGAAATCACCCTATTTTTGTCTATCTTCATGTATTAAATCCATTCTGTGAACCATCTAGTCGTCTGTGCTTCATCTTTTAAATCATGTAAGGGCAATGGTTTCAAGCTTGAAGCTTGGTCACTTAGCACTTACCCAGCCTGATCCGCATTCTGACTGATCTCTGATCAATCTGATCGACTCACAATTCGGCCACTTTTCTCGAGCGTCGAAGGTATCAGGAATGACCTCGTCATCGGCTTTGACGTGGTGAACTGTCTGTAAATTCACCGGGTTTTCGCTCTCGAGTGCTCCCAGGCGACGCTTGATCTGGGACAGGGACATGTCTTTGGGAAAATTCCTACCAGCCTTCCAGGTGGTCTGCAGACTGTTGATGTGGTCGATGTATTCATCGGAGAGGGGGTGGAATGGGACGGAGACAGAGAACAGTCCAGAAAGGGATACCAGAGCCAACAGTCCAACGGCTATCATTTTGGCTGATGCTTCTGGAAATGGACGTAGGATATTATACATTTTGCAGCTGAAACTTGTCGCCCGCCTAAACTCTGAGTACGTTGAAAAAATTGAGAATCTTCCCGACAGGTCGATTTCAATTTGGCGAGGGATACATTCTATGTTATTACAGGTAAGGGCAGTAGAGAGAAGACATTTACAACAAGACAACAATAATACATGAACTATACAACCTTCTATACAACTAAACTTATAACTAGGTAAGACACAAGCAGTCACAGACAGTGCAAGAGTGAGAGAGTCTCACACGTCAAATTTTTGTAGCGTAGCTTTTTCACGTTTGTGTTAAATTATATCTACATAATATGTGAGCTTGTTTGAGCACTAGATTGCACATCGATAGCATTTTATTTATTGCTGATGTGCTGATTAGATCTACCTTCAAAATATCATAATTGGTGATTCTCAGATTTATTTTGGGAACGTTCATGTATAAATACTTAATTGAATCTAAGTCTTTGTACTTTATACCGGGTGTCAACGAATCTATTAGACAAGTCATAACTTCTAGACCATTTGGTGTATAAAAATGAGATGTGGTATAGGTGAATGGTATGTGAAGAGGGGAGTTTTCACATATTTTTCACCTCCTGGTCACTTCCGATTTCACCGGAAATTGCTCCAGTTCTGAATTTTTAAATTGAACACCCTGTATATTGTAATATTTTTGGATTTCTGAGACAATTCTAGATCAGAATATGACATTTTCGCAAGTTTTTATGCCTACTAAATTTTTTCGGAGTCACTTTTGAAATTATATCTAGGTGGCCATGATCGGAAGTGAAATCTGAGGACATCAGGTGATATCAGAAAATTTCAATCGCGAAGTTTCAGTGACAAGAAAGATAGATATGAATAAGACAAGTTGGCAAAATTACATTTTCGTGTCTAACTATTATTTTTCAAATGGCGACCATTTTTTGACAAGCACTTTCCGAAAGAAGGATATTTTGACGAATCTAACGATACTAATTTATTTGCGATTGGATTACAAATAAGAACATAAATTAAATATTACTGACGAAAATACTTCATGATAATTTATTTACTTTTGTAAGTGTGCCATGGATTCATTTACTTTTGTAAGTACTTCCCGAAAAAAGGATATTTTGACGAATCTAACGATACTAATTCATTTGCGATTGGATCAACAAATTTACCAAAATTAACAATGACTTCAGCGATGCACTAACATTTTTTTCAATTTCCTAATTTCTTGAAATTTTCACTATAGTAAATTTTTAAAGTGCATTCCTCCTTGTTCAAGACACATTTCAGCTCGTTCAATTGTTTCTCTCAACATACCGAAAATACTGATGGAATATATCTCTGAGCATACAACTCAGCAGCATTCCTTGAATTTCTGTGACATTTTCCAAACAATAACAACATATCCACTTTTTCACTTTGAGTATACATTATTTTGACGGAAAATCAAACCAAAATTTAACGAAAATCAAGAAAATTTTACCTTCTGCTCTTGAAGCTTATATGTCACTGTCATAACCTAAGTGAGTGTTTTGTTCTCCCAAGAAGACTTGATCGAAATAACTGCAAAATATAATGCATCAGGAATCCAAAAATGTTACAATATACAGGGTGTTCCATTTAAAAATACAGAACTGGAGCCATTTCCGTTGAAACCGGAAGTGACCGGAAATTGAAAAATATGTGAAAACTTTCCTCTTCTCATACCATTCACCTATACCAAATCTCATTTTGATACACCTAATGGTCTAGAAGTTATGACTTGTCTAATAGATTCGTTGACACCCCGGTATACTTCCATAGATAATATAAGTACAAATAGCACTGCCACTTTATTCATTCTGTCCAACAAACTTGTGAATTTTATGGTGTTCAGAATATCTTATTCATATGAAACTAAATGAATGGGTGAACATTGATCTTCCTAAGATAAAGGTATTATAAGAATCTCTTCTGCTCTGTACTTTCTCAATGTGGTCTACATAATTATTGTGTTAACTTTAGATTCACTAGCAGAATTCGGAATCTTGAGATACCCTGAATTTGTTTCGATTAATGGGCGTGTACACCTTAGTACAACTCTTAACTCAAACCATGTTTATAATGATTCTTTTATACATAAATAATGATTGACGACATAATTCGATCGAAAAATTAACTGGAATGTTTTATTTTTGGACACAAATAATAGTACCTTCTCGAAACGGACCCTCTTATGACGTAGAAACCTCATCTCGCCATAGTTAGAAGAAAATACCAAACGCCCGACGGAGACTGAGGCAACTGATATATTAATTCGTTCAACTGTGATCTCGCGCTAATTCACTTTGTCAGAAATCATGTATCATTCATCTTTGTCTGGAATAGTCTTGTTTCAGTATCAGGGTTTTGACGTCACATCATCGCTTCGTTTTCTGAGGTACGAAAAATCGGGGATTTCAATAATTTGTTATAAAACGTAGGAAACTCACAGGAAGAAACGGTTTGCGGTGGTGAGCTAGTTTGGGTGAGTTCTATCGAATTATGGAATGCATTTTTATTGTGATATAAGCCCATTGTCAGTAGATAGTGAATCAAAAGAGATAATGAAAAGTTTCGACACAAAGAATCCTAAAGTTGAAAATCTCGATTTTAAACACCCTGTATCTCAGTAATTATTCCCGCTAGACCCCAAGTGTGATGCATTGATTGAATCAGCTTTCCATGGAAAATCTGAAGATGCAATTGGATTCAGGGTGTTCCATTTGAAAACCGAAAATTGATGCCTGTTACGCATCAAGGTTTTAACTTTGGAATATGATAATTGCAAAATGTGTCCCTTGCTGAATTCGAATCACCCACTAATACCACAAAATAATGCATTGAGAACGTACAATGACTATTGTTAAAAAATCTAACAGACTATAATATATTTATTTCTGAGAAAATATATTCTCTGAAACATTCACTGCAAAATAGTATTTATTAGGGAAGTAGTTATTTTCTGTTATACTTATTATAACAATGATCTCATCATTCCTCACAAAATTATGAGGATATTGAGAATGTTGATAAATTTTACATCAAGACACCATACAATAAATATGTTCGAGATTGTTCCACGAAGGTTTTCCAGGTTAGGATACTTTCGAATTATTGGAAAATCAGTTAATTTGACATCAAAGCAATTCAATGCATGCGGTTCAGGTCAATTTTTTCATTTACTCATACAAGCCTGATGAAATGTTGTTATTACCGAAGCATATTATAAGTAGGTATCTTCTGAGATTTGGCAGGTCTTTCATTGTACATTGAAGTGAGTCTAGCACGGTTATATTCCTGTACACTAGTTTAGTTCATAGTACCCACCGAGCATGTAATGCTACAATAGTTGTTTACCTAACAAGTGCCGAAACTAGTACTTTTCCGCACGCGACGGCAGTTGCACGAACGACGCGAAGTGGTGTTCGGGCGGAAAATACATTTTTCGCAAGAGTTAGGTACTAGTAATTTTCCTAACAAGTGCGGAAAGTGATTCTTTCCCGCACGTGACTGCCGTTGACACGGGCAAGCAGTCGAGTGCGGGAAAGACACTTTCCGCATGAGTTAGGAACAATATTTTTTCTACAAGCGTAGGAAATTGATTGTATCGTTCAATTAATTATTCAAGCAAATAGGAACAACTAACAAGAGATATATATTCTCTATCTATTAATTATTAGTAATAGCTATTGTGAACTTACAGTTTGACGCATTATGTTGGTTCATTGCGGAAGCCAGCAGGCCCATTAGGAGTTTGGTCTCTAGGTTCCAGACACTTCTATGGAATGAGCCAAAAATACCTATTCTTCATTTGGTTTTTTCATTTCTTTATTGTTGCACCATTCAATTAAACGCATGTATAGCTTCTCATACCTTTCTTAAGACTTCGTTGGTGATATTAACGCATCTGTATCAAATCCCTATAGCTAGAAGTTTTTGATCACATTGTGGCATTTCCACTGAATCGAAAATGACAGTAACGCTGTGTCTGTCACTTCGACAATTTCAAACTTATTTGAGGTTTGATTGGCATGACAAATTGACGTTTCTCGTCAGATCAATCCAAATCTATAGGGGGATTTTTATAATAATCCATTTTTATTTCTCAATATTTCTTAATTTTTACAATAAATAGTGCAATTTGATGGATGATTCTGAACATACATACTTAATACTGCAACAAACAATCTTAAACTTTTATATTCCATCACCAACCACTTATATTACTAGCGATTATATCATATCTTTGTTTTCCCGTACTGTTGCGGGAAAATGACACTTTCCAAACTAAATTGCGTGCGGGTATAGGGTGAATCACGCACGCTTGTAGAAAAAGAGTTTTTCCTACGAGTGTTTTTGTCAATATAATTTTTCAAAAAAATGAGGTTTATGATGATAGTAATTTATTATACAAGAGAAAAAAGTAGTAGATTTTAGCTCCAGGTTGTGTTGTCTCCCGACGTGTAGCGGAGGGAGACAAAAGACCGTGACTCGGAAACGGTAGGAGATACGAAGTCGGTTAAATGGGGACAAAGTTGCGCATTCGGAGGCACATATCAAGAGCCTCGAAAAATTTAAAAATTATTTTTAGTTTTTGAGTTATATCGAAAATATTGAATTTTTGGAATATTTTTTTTATTTTTTTTCTCCGTTACTATTAGAGATACAGCGAAACTGAAAATACTTTTTCATAGCAATTTTTGATGACGTTCAATGTGGTGATACCGATTTCTTTATGCGACGTTTCGTATTCGTGGAATTATCATCAACTTTTGTTTTTTAATACGGTCCTGATAATTTTGTCGCAGATTCTGAAAGGTTTTTTTATTCTGAATTCAACCATGTACTATAAAAGGTGATTCGAATGTGTTTCGAACTATTTCTATCCATCATCAATGTTTTTTCGAACATCCAAAGGAAAAAAGCCATCAGTTCCACTTATTTCTGAT